AGTTTAAGATTATCTGTAGTTCCTGTGGAACTGGTTGTATCTGGCTCTGGGATCAGAGTGCATTGCTTTTGCGGATGGAGCCAAAGAAGTAAAAGAAGCAAAGTTGAGGCCACCATGCTCTGTGGAGGCAGTTATGTTGTCTGTTAAGTTACTTGTTGGGACTCTGGCATTGGTTGTCTTGCCTGGAGGTAGGAATGCCCTTTTTGGAACTGACTGTTGGGGATTTAACATAGAATTTTGTGTTCTACACTAAGCTGTGCTCCCAGCTGGGAACACTCATGTTCAAAAAGCCACCAAGAGACCTGTGAAAATAATTTAATAATATTAATAATATAATAATAATAGCCTCAGGTGAAAATAATTATTTAGTGATATTTAAAACAATTTTTTTTTTTGAGTCAGGGTCTTTCTATAATGTAGCTCTGGCTGTCATGGAGTTTTATTATGTAGACCAGAGCAGTCTCATACTCAAAGATCCACCTGCCCCTGCCTCTCAAGTGCTGGGGTCAGAGAGAGGCATGTACCACCTTTAATAATAATAATATATAATTATTATATATTATAATATATTGTATATTATAATATATTATATTATTATTATTATTATTTAAGCATACAATAAGGTTCCATACCAGTGCTGTTGAAGTGATTGTACAGTGACAAAGAGATTGGAATTAACTCCAAACGCAGAATTCATAGCCAAGGAGCAAAGTGAGATTCAGTGGGTAGAAGATTCCCAAGAAGAAATTAAGGAGCAGGTGAGGGAAGGGTGATCTGCTGCTGCTTGGGAGATGGTGAGGAAGAGGGCCAGACTCTGGAGGTGGTGGCAGGTTCTTAGTAAAGCTAGATTGTGTAAAGAAGTGCTCATGGACCTGACCACTTTGGTAAAGCAGAGAACTACTGTTAAAAGCCTGTTTAGAACATAAAACTGTGGGTCTTAGAGATCCAAACCCTTGAAGTTCCTATGGTCCTTATTAACTGTTCTTTTTTGAGACAGGGTCTTGCTATGTACATGTATGTAGCCTTAAACACATAGCATTCCTCCTGCCTTGGCCATTCTCCACCCCCACCCTCAGTGCTGGGTTTACACATGTGCATATGCCATTTATCACACCTTTGGCTATCTTTGGCTCTCTTTTAAGTACAAAATAAACTTTCTGTTTTATTTAGAGCTACTATCATAATTTTCAAAACGGTATCATTGGGCTTCAATTCATCTAAAGCTGTCCCAAGCATGCTGTACTCTTAGGGAAAAAAAAAAAAATCAAGCCTTGCCAGGTGTGTGACCAGGGCCTGCATGTCATTGGTCAGCCTACTTTGGATTTGGCTGGTCTTTGTTAAATGTATCTTAAATAAACAAGTTTCCCTTTTGGCAGAGGTGGAAGACATGGAATGCAAAGTCTGGCAGAAGCTGTGTCAGACTGGCTCTTAAGTTACTTAGCAGCTATCATCTGCTGTCACTGTCATGGTGAGGAAATACCTTCCAGTTGGAAAACAAAAGTTACTCTGCTGCCAAGGGACCAGAATAGTCCTCACTTAATTTTGCAAGAAGAAAGGAGCATGCTTATTGTTTGCTGAGCAGGAACTCTTGCATTGGAATTGTTTTAATCACCAAACTGGTAGAAGAACATGTAGTTGTTTACCTGCTGAGCTTTGAACAAACTTACAGTCTGGGGTGTGATTCATGAATATTTACAGTCTGGGATGTGATTCATAAATGTGTCCCATAGAGTTCCTTCATAGGAGACAAGCTAATAGCTTCCAGAAGTGTTAAGTAGCAGCATTTTCTCCTTGCAAATGCCAGGGCTGATTGAGGCAAGCTGTCAGGGATGGAATCTGGCTGCTATCAGTTTGGTTTCTGGGATGCTTGTGTGGTTTTTCTAAATTAGAGCATTTGCAAGCTAAATTCTTGTTCTACTAATTAGTAGAGTTATACAAGTTGGTTCTTTAGTTGCTAGTGTAGGTAAGGTATTCCCTTTAGATTAATGTGACTACTTGGGCAATGAGAGAGAGAGAGAGAGAGAGAGAGAGAGAGAGAGTGAATGAATGAATCCCAGGTTCTGCCTCCAAAAAAAGTTTTTAGCATTTTTTAAGAAGTGAGGCGACTGGGCCTGCAGCTCTGTTGTAGAGTTTTTGCCTAGCATTCAGGAAGCCCTGGCTTCAGTCCTTAGCACCTAGTAAACTGGTTGTGGTGGTATAGGCCTGTTATTCCGGCACTTGGGAGGCAGAGGCAGAGGCAGGAAGATCAAAAAAGTTAAAAGTAATCCTTGATTATATAGCAACTTTGAGGCCATACTGGCAAGTCTATAGTATCAGTCATCCAGAGGTTGAGGCAGGAGGATTGTGAATTCCGGAAGCCAGCCTGGTCTCAGCAAGACTGTCACAAAACAAAGAAAACATTGAAGAGAGCTGGTAGTATATAGCTTGGTGGTAAAATTGTGCCTACCTTTGGAAGGCTGGGGACTTAATTCCCAGCTCTGCAAATAAAGTTAACTGTACTTTTGTATAGGGATCCTTTCTGTTCTTCTAGGGTATGTGTGAAGATTTTTGAGTTTGGGGTTTGTTTTTATTCTACCACCCTCACCCCCACCAAGAAGTAAGAAATATTCTTGATTAACTTGTATTTTAGGGCCAAGTGTTGAAGGAATCAACAGAGGAAACACTATTCCTTTCAGTTTGATTTGCCTAGTAAATCCATGAAGGGAAAACAGTTGCAAGTAAAGAGAAAGCCTAGTGAGCTTCTTTCTTCAGATTTTGCTTTAGGATTTGTAATCAAGCTGTTAGGAGAAGGAACAGGACCTCTGTTCTGGAGTCTTGGACAGCTGGGAGATCCCACTATTGTTTAACTTAGATCTTGAGGCCCACCCTCAGAGGACAATGAAGTCTAGGCAAATACTTATCTCCTCCCCCACCCTTTCCTTCTCCTCTGCAGTGATAGGGTGTGGTGTTGGTGACCTATATTAGAATACAACACTGGTAGTCTTAGACAGAACAGAAGATGAATATGCTGTGTATTTTTAAAGTGTAAATGGTGAGCTTATTGGGAGCTTGGCTCAAGGGAGAGAAGCATTAAGACTAGAGTGTTGTGTTGACTCTTTACCAAATATATTGTAGAAAGTTTCATATGCACCACCCAGTTAGACTTTATTACTAGTATTGTACTAAGCTGTTTAACAAATGAAGAAGCCAGAGCTAGCCCAAGGAAACACAGAAGCCAAAAGCAAAGGCTTAGGTCTAGAATCCTGATTAGCAAGTGCCTCTTCTACAAGTCTCAGCTAGAGGCTCCAGGTTTGGGAAACGACTACTGACAGGGATGAGGGCCTCTTAAATCCAGAATGTGATTAGTTAAGACCTCCTGGGAACTTAAAAGAATTTAATAAAATATTTTTTGAGAACTTCATACATAAGTACTGTATTTACATAATTTTTGCCCTTCCCTCCAACTCCTTCTATCCTCATTTGTCCCACACTCCCAAATTCATGTCCTATTTTTATTATACATGCACACACACCTTACTGAGTCTACCTAGTATTGCTCATATGCACATGTTTTTAGGACTGGCCACTTGGGATTGTATAACCTATCAGGATTATTCCGTGGAGAAAGCAGATTCTTCCCTTTTAGAAGCCATTGATTGCTGGTAGTTCTTCATTTGCGTGTTGGGCCTTTTGAGGGTTCCCCCTCCCTGTTGGCATATCAGCTCATATCGTTACACAATTCTTGTGTGGGCAACATGTTGTGATTTCATGAATATGTCACCTCTAGAAGATGCTACCTCAAAACAGATGTCTTGGTCTTCTGGCATTTGCAGTCATCTCCCCATTCTTCCCAGTGTTTCCTGAGCCTTAAGTATAAGGGTTGTGCTGTAGGTGAACCAGTTGGGACCGGACATCCTACAATCACTTACTTCTATATTCTGACAATTATAGATCTCTGTAATAGGCCCCATTATTTGCAAAAGAGAGCTTCTTTGATGAGGGGTAAGAGCTACACATATCTGTGGATATAAAGATCAATATTTAAGCAAGGGCAAGCAGGCAAAGAGCAAAACAAAGGCCATTTTCTTCTATGTCCTTATAGGCTTCCAGAAGGTGTGGCCCAGATTAGAGATGTATCTTTCCTCCTCATGATCCAGATTAGAAGTGGATCTTCATATTCAAGTTAAGCAAAAGTTGATTACTAGTGTGCCCTCCATAGTTGGATTTTAGTTAAGTCCAGATGTAGACAGGTTCATAACCAAAACAGATATCACAGTTGAGAAATGTGGCCATAGTAGGTTCTTCTATAGGGTCTTTGGTCTCTCCAGCCACAGGTAGTTGGCTAGGTTTACACATTACCAGGTATGATTTCTCTCTTGTTGAACAGGTCTTAAATCCAGTTAGTTGTTGGTTACCCCCAAGATGAAAGTGCTACTATTGTACCTTTAGGGATGTCTTGCCTAGCCTGTTATTGTTGCATTTTGTAGGCTTTACATCTGGGTAAGATTGTTAATTGCTTTTCTTCCTTGGAAATTTGTTTAGCACTTTCAGATAGTATGAAAACTAGTCTTCAGGTTGGAGGCTTCAAGGTCAATTCTGACTTGATTCCTCCAACTTCAGTGTCCAAAGTGTATGGTGTCTTTAGCAGTAGGGTCTTCACTTCAAGTTCGGAAGGCAACCAAAGATAATGACAACAGATGGTCTTGTTTTGGGAGTCTCTTAGACTTCCCTGACCAACAACTCAGAGGTTTTTCCTGCCTAGCACTGGGGTTTTCTAGTTTATGCCTTGTGAAGGAACATTATCACCCCATGTGAAAAAATAGAGGAATTATATTTATATGATAGCATAAGAGTGACTTTAATTCCTACAGTTGCAAAACAACCTTTAGGCACTTTTGTTTAATTGCAAGGTAAGATAGTTTTGTGATTTAGATCATCGTAGGGAAGAGGATGACTAGGCTAAAAGCTTTCCATCAAGTTACAAGTATGTATAGTGACTTTACTACTCCTGACTATACTAGGATTTCCGGGATGCTGTAGCCCATGCATCCAGGCAACTTGGGAAGCCTGTGATTGAGGACCGGATCCTGAACCAGATCTTGTACTACCTGCCTCAGCTGTATGAGCTCAACCGGGATCTTCTGAAGGAACTGGAGGAAAGAATGCTGAGCTGGTAAGACATAGACAGTTTCAGGTTTCCCCAAAGTGTACAATCTACAGAGACCCTGCCAGGGGGAGAGAGTGCTGCCTTATGCAGTTGCTACAGTATGTTGAATTTTCTTGGCAGTTATCTGTACATTGAATATTTTGGATGGCCATACCTTAGTATGCTGGATTTAAATGCATGTCATTTTAAAAGTTTTTCAATGATGCTTGTTTGTATCCATGCTCAACCAACCTAGCTTTTGCTTTTTTCTCTTTCTTTTTCTTTTTTTTTTAAATTTTTGTTTTGTTTTTCTGTTTGATTATTGGGACAGGGTATAATTTGTTAAAATTATAGTGAAAATAATTACCATTACCAAAATAATTCTGTATTTTATCCTTTGTTCTTTACAGAATTTTATATTATTATTATCCTGAATTGGTTATAGGCATATTTGCATAAGTAATATACAGAGGTTTAAATATTTCTTGCTTATACTAAAGACTTCTTCAGGTTTTGCCCTCTAGATGGTCTGTGTTCAAATATTAAGCATTCCTGAGAACCAGACTAAACTAATGAAAAGGACAATGCTTCACTCATATATAAATTTTTACTTATTGCTAACAAAATAGTTCAAGTATCTTGAATAAGGTATTTCCTATTAAAATAGTCTTTTCACTGGGCCTTGTGGAGCAGGCTTGCAAGCCCAAATACTTAGGAAGCCGAAACAAGAGGACCACAAGTTGAGTTTCACAGGCAACTTAATGAGTCTCTGTTTCAAAACAAAAAGTGAAAGACATGTTGGCAAGATGAATCAATGGAATGGGTAAAGGTGCTTGCCACCAAACCTGCTGACCTGAGTTTGGCCCTTGGAACCTGCATGGTGAAAGGAGGCAACTAATTGCCACAGTTGTTCTCTGACCTCACATCTACGCCCCACTCAAAATAAATCAGTAAGTCAATCCATAACTATTTTTAAAATAAAAAGGCCTGGGGATTTAGCTTAAAGGTTTGCCTATCATCCAAGAATCCCTGAGGTCATATATTTGTAGATTAGGGCAGTTAAGAGCACCAAATACTCTATATGTAGATCAAAGTCTATGTGTTTGTCTTAGTAAGACCAATTTAAGGGCCACACTGTTAGAGAAATTATAGTATTTTCAATCCTGAGACCAGATAGAGAGGGACCAGTCTTCATAAAACAGAAGTTTGAAATTCTAGGTTAGGACCTAGAGTGATACTGAGATAGTTAAGCTGGTGTGCAATCTGTCTCTGCCTGGGAAACATGGAGCAGAGGCCACCTTGTTGATCTGGAAAATCTTGGTCCTGTGCACCTAGCCACAGTGACACTTCTGCTCTGCTGTCATGAAGGACACACTTAGCCAGAACTGACTCTCCATCTTGATCTCCAGGCCATACATAGATCATGCTCTGCTCCATAAGGAAAGACATGGTCTGAGGCCACTGGACCTCACTTTGGCTGGGCAGTGGTGTTGTACGCCTTTAATCCCAGCACTCAGGAAGCAGAGTTCTCTGTGAGTTCGAGACCAGCCTGGTCTACAAGAGCTAGTTCCAGGACAGCCTCCAAAGCCACAGAGAAACCCTGTCTCAAAAAACAAAAAACTTTGTAGCTGCACTGGCTTGGGATCCAGTATGTAGTATAGGATGATCTTGAACTCAGCAATCCTTCTCTCTTTCCAGAGTACTAGAATTACAGGCGTGAGCCACCATGCCTAGGAAGTATTTCTTTATCTGAGGTTTGAGTATCTAAAGTGCTAGTTGATAATCTACATATGACAAGCATATCATAGTACACAAAATATACAAAGGTCTCACTTTCATGGAACAGACATTTTAGTGGGGAGAAGGACAAGGTAAATAGACAAGAAAAATCAGAAAAAACATTTGTGATTCTTGGAAACTGATAATATGCTGGGGTACTTAGTGAAGATTAGATGGTCAAAGAAGGTTCTCTAAGAAAGTGGGCCATGGGCTAGGAATATAGTTAGTAGTAAAGTGCTTGCCTAGCACATGTAAGGTGTTTAGATTTCAGCCCCACCCCCACCTCCCAATGTGGAGCATGTGAACTGACATGGGAATATGAGATGGGGAGACTACAAGGGCTCCATATTTCCAGGCATGTGGAACCATTAGTACAAGGCTACAAGCTGGGAATAGACTCCGTATAGTCAAAGAGCATAAAGAAGCTTTGGAGTCTAAGGAAAAGGAAGAGAACATGACCTTGATCAGACAAACAGGAAGGAGTATAGTAGCCCTTGTGTGCATGGAATTTATTTTTACTCTAAGTGTAATAGAGGGTCCTCAGAACTGGGTGTAGTGACACTCACCTGTAATCACAGGAAGGTCTTGAATTCAAGACCACTCTGGGTATCTTAGTGATACCATTTGCGCACGCGCGCGCACACATACACGCGCACACACACACAATGAAAAGAAGGCATCATTGCAAGTTACATAATAGGATGTGTATTTTTAATTTTTTTTCGACTCTTGCTGCAACAAAGAATGGAATAGAGAGGACCAGAATGGAAGCAGTGGGGCCGGTTGGAACTGGCAGAGTCTGGACTAGATGTGTTCATGGCAGGGGCAATGGTGAAGAGCAGCATCTTAGGATATGTTTTCAAGAAGAAGGAAAAGGATAAGCTGATGGCTTATCTGCACCTTGGGCACATTAATGACCGCTTTCATGTTTTTGTGTACCCTCCATGTATAGGAATGAACAACAAAGAATTGCCGATATCTTCGTAAAGAAGGGGCCATATTTAAAAATGTATTCCACATACATCAAAGAATTTGATAAGAACATAGCTTTGCTGGATGAGCAGTGCAAGAAAAATCCAGGATTTGCTGCGGTTGTTAGAGAATTCGAGGTATTTGCTACCATATAACATTGAACTTTTTTCCCTTTTATTCTTCTATGCCTTAATCATTTATAGTCAGTGAAAAGAACACTTTTGAATAAAAATGTGTTCAAATGTAACCTCTTCTAAATCATAGAAAGAATTAGTTGACCAAACAAACCAATGAAAACTCAAACAGTCCAAGATTCAATTCTGAAGATCCATTACTGCACATTTTGCTGTTTTGATCAGGTAAACAGTATTTTGGCTAGTTGGTTAGCTAGTTAATTTGCTTGAAACAAGGTTTCACTCTGTAGCTGGACTGATCTCAAAGTCCTGGCTCTCAAGTCTCATCAGCTGGGTGTGCTACTTGTACCTGTGCTTGGGAAGCAGAGGCAGAAAGATACAAAGAATTCAAGGCCGTCCTCAGCTACATAATGAGTTCCTGGCCAGTCTGGACTATAGGAATCCCTTTCTCAAAAACAGAACAAGGACTAACAAGATAGTTCAGAAGGTAAAGGTACCTGCTGGCAAGTACTTGACCACCTGAGTTCAATCCCCAAGATCCCACATGTGGAATGAGAGAGCTGACTCCTGAAACTTGTCTTCTGACCTCAACATGCATGCTATGGCATGTGTGCACCCAGCACTGACGCACGTGTGCACGCATCTGCAGACACACACAAGTAATAAATAGACAAATGAATAAACAGATTACTCTTATTTTTGAAGTGTGGTAAAATGTGTATACCACAGACTTATAATCTTAACCATTTTAAGTATATTACTGTAGTATGAAGTATATAGACAATATTGTGTAATCATCCTTCTAAAGCATACTTAGTCTTGCAAAATCGAGATTCCATGGCCATTAAACATTAACTTGTCCTTCTCTTCCACCCTGGCTGCCCTATTCTGCCTTCTGTCTTGGTGAATTTGAGTGAACATTTATTATTTCTACCCAACAATTTCTTGCATTTGTATGACAACTTCACATAGAGTAATGGAAAGGAACATAATTTTTTTGTTAAGTAAATACACTTTTAGCATCAAAGTTAAAAAAACTTTGTCTTTATGTGTCAGCTAAAGTCTTGTTTTGGCTGAAAGTTTGGAGATGCAAACTTGATTTGATGGTGATAAAATAATATTGTACATTGTTACCCAGACTTGCCTCAAATTTGTTTTTCAATCAGGGCTGTCCTTGGACCTTCATCCACCTGCCTCTGCCTCCTGAGCAATGGCTTGGTGGTTCCAGTCACTCTCCCTTACCGTACCACCACTGTGTCTTGCAGAAGGAAACACCTCTGTGAATTCTCTTTCCAAGTTGCTGGCTTTTCAAAGTTTGACTTCCTAAGTGCTTCGGCCTGTACTCTGCTTCTGAAAAAACAATGAGTTTACTTTCAGTTTTTTTTTTTTTTTCCTTTTCCCTTCAGATGAGCCCACGATGTGCCAACCTAGCCCTGAAGCACTATCTGCTAAAGCCAGTTCAGAGGATCCCTCAGTACAGGCTGCTGCTGACAGGTGGGGGTCTCCAGACTTTACCAGCCAATTGACTCTAACTGCCTTTGCTGAGCACTGCCCTTCCTAGGCATGCCTCTTCCATCTCTCCACTAAACACTGCCTAATAGATGTTGTTATAAGGATTGATTAATGAGCTAAATTGTGTGCATGATCCTTAGAATTATTCCTTGGACATACTAAGTTCTAACAATATTAGCAATAGTAACAGTAGCCTTACTATTATTATTTGGGCATTCTGACCATCATTCGCAAGATTTTAGACTTCTCTGGCTAGGGTAGAAGAGAGTATGAGGTATGATTTGGATGAAGCACCTGCACTTGTATACTTTTGTTCCTTGGTTCTTTAAAACTTACCCTAGCAACAAGTAACACAGTAACAAGATTTTTTTCATAGACAAAATAACAGGCTTATAAAGGTTAAGTGGTTTGACGTCATAATAAAAGCTAATACACATCATGTTAGTACCAAGCGTGCTATCTGATAAATATTATTAAGTCTACTGAGATTTGCTGATGTGTATTAGGAGAGGGAGAGAATTACATATATTATTGCATTACACTCTGCATCAAAGTGGGTAAGAACACTGAAATGTCATCAGAACTTAATAGTAGATATGTGTAAGTAGATTTTGAGGTTCTTGGCTGTGACTATTTATTGTCCTTGAAAAAATAATGTGCATGCTGTGTACTCAGTTGGATTCTCTTGAACCAAGATTAGTAGAGGAGTGTGTGACCCTAGAAAGCAGCATTTGCCCATTTCCCTTGATGCAGAAGCTCAAGGCCTCCCACTTGGTAGTGAGGAGAGTGGATGGCAGGACCTTTTCTTTCAACCCTACCTGTGACCTGCTAGCCAAGGTGTGTCAAGGGCTGAATTCGAATTTCTAACTGCACATCAGGCACTAGATTTCTCTCTGGAATGACATCAAAAGCAAAGCAAATAATTTGAGGATATCCTGCCCATCTGCACTTGCTCTCCTCCGCTTTTGGCTTAGATTATTAATTCACAGGACGGGAGGAAGCACTGCTAGCTAAATCTAAAGCTCTGTCATAAACCAGTTATTGGATAGTATTGGCTATTTCCACAGCTGTAGGGTGAGTAATGTTTCTAGTGGCCAAAGACAACGGTGGCTCAGATTTCAGAAGGAAGGATCGGGCTACTAAAAGTGAAGTGTAAAAGATATCTTTTCTTCCTGTACTGTGGCTGGTCTACATAGTAAGTCAGCCTGTTTAATTTAGATTGCATGCTAAGTTGTTTTTGGTGGAGAAATAAGAAAAGTAAGTTTTTAAGACACTGTGTATGTGTGTCTTCTTTTCCTTTGTAAGACAAAGTTTCATTGTGGAGGCAACAAAGCTTACCTCAAACAACTTCTAGTCCTGCCTCAGTCTCTTGAATGCTGGGATTGTAGGCATATGCATCACCATGCGTAGGTTTTACATTTCCTTTTCTTGCATTTACTCGTTTGTTGGTTGTGTGAGGTGCATGTGTGCATATGCATGCCATAATACATGTGAAGGTCAGAGGACAGCTTGCAAGAGTCTGTTTTCTCCTTATCATGTGGGTCATGTGAATTGAGCCAGGTCACCAGGCTGATTAGCAAGCACTTTTTTTTTTTTTTTTTTTTTTTTTTTTCGCGAGACAGGGTTTCTCTGTGGCTTTGGAGGCTGTCCTGGAACTAGCTCTTGTAGACCAGGCTGGTCTTGAACTCACAGAGATCCCAAGTGCTGGGATTAAAAGCGTGCACAACCAACGCCCGGCTGCAGCAAGCACTTTTATCAACTGAGCTATCTTACCAACCCATGCCTGGCCTTTTAAAAACTGTTTTTCTAAAAATTATTTCTTTTATTTTTGAGATTATAATTACATTTCCCCCTTTCCTTTCCTCCCTCCAGATCCTTCCATATAACCCTGCTTGCTCTCTTCCAAATTCACGGCCTCTTTTTTCATAAGTTAAAATCTGTTTTCTTGGGATGCAGCTGAGTTGGTGGAGTGTGTGCCAAGTATGTCTTTCTTTCTTTCTTTTATTTTATTCTTTTTTTTTTTTTTTTCTGAGACAGTGTTTCTCTGTGTAGCTTTGGAGCCGGTCCTGACACTCGCTCTGGAGACCAGGCTGGCCTCGAACTCACAGAGATCCACCTGCCTCTGCCTCCCGAGTGCTGGGATTAAAGGCATGCGCCACCAATGCCCGGCTTTCTTTCTTTATTTTTAATGTGTGTGTTCTTAAATTTTGATTTTAATGTTATTGAGGCAGGGTCTTATCATGTAGTCCTGGCTGGCTTGGTACTTGCTATGTAGCCCGGCTTGACTTCAAACTCGCTGTAATCCTCTTGCTTTAGACTAATGAGTGCTGGAAAAATTATAAACATAATCCACTACACTAGTCTCTTGCAATTATTTTCATTTTAATTTTTTTAAAGTTATATACACCATCCATATAAGAGCCTACACTGGCCTAGAACTCATAGCCAAAACTGCCTAGAACTTGTAGGAATTTTCTTGTATGTATGTATGTATGTATACATGCCACATGCATGCTTAGTACTCACCAAAGTCAGAAAAGGGCATCTTATCCTCTGAAACTGGAGTTAGGGGTAGCTGTGGACTACCATATGGGAACTGGGAATTGAACCTGGGTCCTCAATCAAAGCAACAAGTTCTCTTAATTGCTGGGCCATCTCTCCAGTTTGGATGTTAAGTCCCATGTTTGGAAAACAAGTTCAAATAACTTAGTCCTCCCAACAACCTTGTAATTTCAAATGCACAATTGGCACAGTAGCTAAAAGGAAGAGCAAGCCTTTATTTGAATGAACTCCTGATGCTGGTTATTTTTTAAGTATTTGGCAGAGCGAGGAAAGATTCCTGTCTGATTCACTGTAAGCAGATTTGTACTTGCCTCAGTTTCTTGGCAGAGGACTTCTGAGAAATGCATAGATGAAGGACTGATAACACAGGTCATTTCTTTTTAGAGAAAAGTGAGTGGAATTCCCCAGGAGCAATGGGCTGTGCTACTGTTCAGCAATCCTGTTTTTCTTGCAGTGCTTTTCCCCCACAGGAGAGCTTCACTTTGTGCTGAAGTTCTCTCTCTTTTCATTGTAGTGAACTCCAAATAAATTCTTGGTGGAAGTTCTTGTAGAATCCCCAGTGGTAAAGCACATGGCCATGATTTGCATCCCCCAACACCACTAAAATAAATGCACACATAAATTAGTTAATTCTTGGGAGTAGTTTTTTTAAATTTATTATTATTATTATTATTATTATTATTATTATTATTATTATTATTATTTTAATTTATTATCATTATTTATTATTATTATTATTATTATTTATTCTTATCTTGTGAACATAGGTGTTCTGCCTGCATGTATGTCTGTGTGAGGGGTCAGATCTTGGAGTTACAGATAGTTGTGGTCTGCCATGTGGGTGCCGGGAATTGAACCCAGGTCCTCTGGAAGAGCAGTCAGTGCTCTTAACTGCTGAGCTATCTCTCCAGCCCCCATTGGGAGTAGTTTTTTAAGATCAACTCAAAAATGAGATCTAAGAGGATGCACACGATTGTATAGTGAAATGTTCAAAGAAACATGGAGTGAGTGATTTGCTTAATGAATGCTGAATGCTTTTAAATTTTGTGTTGACTAGTCAAGGCTAAAGCATTATAGTCAGGCCCTATAAGTGTGTGGGGTGCTCAGATCTCCTGATTGGAGAGATTGGGAATTAGGAAGCAGCAGATAGGACAAAAGCAAACACTGCCATAGAAGCAGTGTTACTCTGTTGCTTCTTTCTCATCTCCAAGAAAGAAGCTATCTGGGATGGTCATGATCTTGACCCATATCAAAGACTTAACGAACTGAAAGGTTTAGGAAATGAAAAGTTGTTTCTATTTGTGAAGTTTGGGATCCTCCTGTAACAGTCCCATGAATATGTGCTGAATAGAGACTGCTACATAACACTTAAAGTTGAGATCAAGCTTCACTTGATTTGGGCACTTGCAGAAGGACTAAACTTCCTGGCCTTTCTCCCTAGTAGGATCTGTAGGTTTTCCTGTTCCTCTGGTTCCTGCTGCTGTTGGGATCCAGGTCAGGACTATTCCACCCACTCGATGTGCAGAAATGTCTTCATTCTGGCCATACCAATTGTCACACCACGTCACCCAGCAAATCATTGCTTCATTTCTCTGCCAAAAGTATACTTTGAATCTGCTTATTAGATTCTGATGATGCATTTATTTGTTATTTAATTCACTTACTTACATCTTTTTTGTACTAGGGATTGGTTGATCCCAGTACCTCAGGCCTGCTTTGCAAGTATTTGGCCAACCCTCATTGTGCTTACTAGAAAAGTTGAGAGCACAGTATCTACAGTATAGAGACCTCAGCTCACAAGCCCAGTTTACTCAAGTCTCGTTTTCCTTTGCTCTAGCTGTGGTCTGTGTCTCCCTGTCTGCTGAAGCACGCCCTTCTAGGCTACATTCACTCACACATTAATCACTCACTCACTCCGCAAATGGGCAACTGGGCCCATTTGGGCAGACAGCACAGTAATGACCCTTCCTTCACAGACTATACCATCCTCTCTGAGGTATCCTCTGGAGAGCCTCTGTCCAACTTTGCAGGCTCCCACTGAGCTGGTCCTAAAATTTGTATGGATCTTGCCACATCTTATTTTTGTAAGGGTAACCTTTTTCCTTTGAAGGTCTCTTTTATACATGTAAAAATATGTAAGTAATAGAAAAAGCAAATCCCTATTCATCTTCTGTTGTTTAGAAATGACTCAGAGACCTTTTCAGATTTTTTAAAAAATGTCCGCATATATTATATATTATATTAGAATTTTTTCTCAATAAAAGTCTTTTGTGGAATGTTATTACATTGGTATTGAAGGAAGTTGAGTCAGGTAGGATGGAGGAGAAAGTATATTAAAAAACATAATTTAAATTGCTTCTGAAAATCTTTTCCACATCCACAGTGATGGTCAAACAAGTCCTTTGAACTTTGATTTATTG